ACCACATGAAATTAAGTGATCTCTTCATATGCGGAATGTATAGCGATAGTGCGAAGAACACCTAATTTTACCTACTGTTTTGTATGGATCTCTCACACTAAAGGTAACAGGCCTGTTCCGGCCTACGAGAGACGAAGCAACCAGAGAATGGGGAAAATGGATTAATGAGGAACTGCAGGTTCTGAGCTCTTCACCAGTTATCACTGGATTGGTGAAATCACTGATGATGAAACAGACGAGGCATCTAGGTAAGAGGACACACAGTCCGAAGACTCAGAATGGAGAATTGGTCCTAGGCAGACCGCCCGTCATAAGGAAATAGTGTGAGTGGACGGAATTCACTCAGAAAGGGACTTTGTGGGGACTATTGTGAACGCGGCAATGAATCTTCTGGTTTCGTAACCTCCTTGACTAACTGCCTAACTATCAGCTTCTCAAGAAATACCTGCTCCATGGAGTCAGTTAAAGAAGCATAACACCACAGAACCTTCACTTATGTCGCAAGGCCCCAGGACAGACATATCTGAAAAAGAGGTTTCTTTTTTCTTGAGACACAAGTTGAGTGCGACCGAACCGTCCCCCTGACGTGGATCGTTTGGGACAGCTCTGTCAGGCCGATATGCCCGGATTAACTTCATCTGATACAGCTTCAAATCCTCTTGTCATTTGTCCAAACATTTGGGACTGTGGGAACTTCCCTAGTCCGGGGTTCGTACTTTGCTGAGGAAAACTGTGACAGCAGTAAAGTGGGGCGTGGTGTGATGACAGAGCTCCCCTCCACAGTCCAGACGGCAGCGGATGAACCGCGCAACACACAGAATCATTTTACACATTGCTTTGTATAATTACGAAATGCGGTGTACTACTGCAAAGGGAGGGCTTCTAGCAACGGCATTAGGACCTGACACTTGTCCCTGGCTGGCGGCCCTCTTCATGTGCGTGAGACTTATGAAACCGCAGCAGAGGCAATGTACAATATTAAGTAATGAAGGAATCATTAAGTCTATTATTAGGAAACTGAACTCTAGAAGCATAAGACTGACTGGTAACGTAGCCATGAAGAGAAATACAAGACATTATATCAGAATTGGGATGGGAAATATGAAAACGCATGTTCGGGAAATGGGTTGTGTGGATGAGAGGTGGATGGAACAGGCTCAGGATCGTTTCAGGTGGCAGGTTTTTGTATCAGCTGTGTTGAACCTTCTAGTTCTTTTGCCAGAGAGTTATTTAATTAGAAAGATGGATCTCAGGGAAACAGGTTTTGAGAATGGGAGGTGGATGGAACTGGCTCAGGATCGTGTGCAATGGCGGACTTTGAACCTCCGTTCTCGTTGCCACATACTGTATACACTTAGACTAGTGGCTTAGAGTTAGCTGTTGGGCCAGTCCGCCTCTGCCACAGGAATGCGCTGAAAGTGTCGGGTCTCCAGTATCTACACTCACATCTCTGTACGTAACAGCCCGTAAACTTGTCGGTCTCTGTGTGACGTCTGCCTTGCTCTTAGGCATGTGAGCACAGGGAGACGGTCGGAGCTTGAAGCTAACCACTCATCTGACAGTTTGCAACCTGGAGCACGAGCCGGACGTTGCGAACAGCGTAGATGTTAAACGGACATGTTGCCCAGTTCGTGGTACTGGAAACCTCGGACAAGACGGACTGTCTCCGGGCAGAGATTCGAAATAATGATCCCACCAAGTAAGAAGCCCCTCGAAGGGGGACGGAGTTTGGCTCTCATCCAGTTGCTTTCATGTGTATGGTAGTTATCTGCAATTTGTGTTTCCGGGAATTTTCCACATTTAGAAACAGAAATATACTTGGAAAAATGTAGAAGCTTAAAGAACACGAAGTAACCTACTTTTGCGTGTGCGCAGTCACACACTTCAGTCTGCGCATGCGTCGTGTTATCTTACACAACACAAATGTTTCTATTTTAGTAACTTTAATGCATTCTTCCTGTCAGTCTGTCGTCATGTTGTTATCGTATACCATAAGTACTTGTCCTTCGTCCGGGACACGGATGCTTTCTTGTCAATATTAAAACATGTGGCAGTTATATTTTTAAAGAAGGAATGATATTCATATCAAGAAATTAAAATTTAGGTACGTTTTAAAATAGGAAACTATGCTACACTATGCTGTACTATACTACAAACCAGAAGGTCAAGGGCTCGATTCCCGATGAGGTAACTGGATTTCCAGCCACACTATAGTCCTGGGGTGGACTCAGTTTCTAACGGAAATGAGAGGAATCTTCCTGGGAGTAAAGGGCGGTCGGCGAGTAAGGCTGACAACTTCGCCTCCATCTGTGAGCCGAATGTCTCGAAAAAATGGGAGCCTCGGCGTCTCACAACACTATGGCCCTCCACGGCCTGTTGCAGGAATAGCTTTACTCTTTCTTTTTAAACTTTAGCACTAACTTCGCCTACAAGCGGCGGTCGCTAGGTCGGTATATTCGCTTGCAGACTAAAACCACGAGTTCTTCTTCATCACTTATAAGACTGGCGGAAATGCCACTTCTGTGATGCAAATGAAGGGATAACTCTTACTGGACTGGTTCAGACTGCGAACAGAAACATATGATCTTATGTGTGTATTTAGTAATTTATAATTCGTGGTAGCTCCTGGGATACCATGTGTTGTGGGTGCCCCTGTAGTGACCACACAGAGAGCCTGCCAACACCTGTGTGTGTGGCGACATGTTTGGGCTGGCCAAGGACACCTATACCATGACTTCTGACCTGGGTCGTGTTATCGTCACAGAACGATACAGCCATCCTACCCACCCACCAGGACACACATGGGCTCTGAGGAAAACCATGCCTATAGTTACAGAAACACGACATTTTAAAGTGTATGAAATTGCTTCTGCTTTTACAACAAACCTGTCAGTCTGTATTAATAATGCTGTTTCGCAGCAGTTGGCACTGTGATTCGAGGGCAGGGAAATTTATTGGACAGTTGTAGCAACTTATGTCATCACATAGCCCTAAGACGAAATGGCAGGTTCAGCAACAATGAATCTGAGATTTGCAGATTGAGAATCATGACGAATGAAAATGCTTTTAGGCTTAAATGGTCATAATGTTAAACAGGAATGGAGCACTCCCTGCCTTGGGTGAAATGTAATCTTATGACTGAACGGGGAAATGAAGAGGGAGTTTCAAATGAAAGGAGACGAGACGTTCTAATGCGCCCATAGACTAAGAAGTTTATGTTCTGGACACAGAAGTCGGGTTATGAGGAGGAGACAAAGCAATGCAACAGAAACTGCGTGCATGAGATTTCTTAGGTCCTTGATAGAGTAATAAATGAGAAATTGCCAAATAAAAAGACACTTATTGCGAACCGAGAACCTGGTAGAATACGGAAAGTGGAAACACGTGCGCAAATAAAGTGCAAGAAAATTGACTACTGATATTATCATACTCAGAAAATATAAAGGTTAAAGAAACGTGGGAAGACTGCGAAATAGACGGTAAAGGCCAGTTTTATAAATTTCTTATATACGAACGAGCTTGTTGGATGATGAAGAATTTTTCCGAAATATGGCGTCCTGAACATTATACAATTCCTTCTACGTTTGCAGAAAACATACGATTGTGTTAATAATGTCATCTTTCTGCATTGAGATCTAGTAAACAGGGGAGTACATTGCACAACAGCAAAGGCATGTGCCATCACTCAACGCTCAAATTAAATGCTAGTTAGAAGAATGAGTTTGTCATTGTAACATTGTCTGAGAAAGAAAAGTGAAGCTATCCCTGTGACAGGCTGTGGAGGCCCATAGGGTTGTGAGACATCGAGGCTCCTACATTTTCTCTAGACAATCGGCTCACAGATGGCGGTGAGGTTGGTAGCCTTACGCGCCGGTCACCGTTTACCCCCCGGAATATTCCTGGTACTCATTTCTATTAGAGCCTAAGTCGATCCCAGGGCCATAGTGCGGCTGCAAGATCAGTTTAATTGAAAAATCCAGTGACCTCATCAGTATTCGAAACCGCGACGTTCCGATTTGTAGCGCAGTGTCGCAACAAACTACGCTACCGCAAGGTCTGTAACATTGTTTAAAATGTTAGCGATATTTTGTCTCGAAAATTACTGTGAATATTATACCAGACTGGACACTTCTGTTCAGCACACCCCGAGACACAGAACCACGCCTGCAACTGGCTGAATTCATAGTACAGACTGCTTTGTAGTCTGGGTGTAATTGAAACTTCTAATATGCAAGCGAATTTCATAATTTCATCCTCACAAATTTCAGTAGGACAAAATTATTTTTTTATTATTCTTAGTGTGGTGAGACTGAGTCCACTTGGTACTGCGGCCACTACTGGCCTACTGTACCAACCCCAGACGATAGATGAGGGTGATTGTGGAGCAATTGGTGGAATGAAGATTGGCAGGGGAAACCGAAGTACTCGGAGAAAACCAGCGCCAGAACCACTTTGTCCACCACAAATCCCACTTGACCAGACCCGGGATCGAACCAGGGCCGCCGCGGTGGGAAACCGGCGGCTAACAGTATGAGCTACGGCACGGGCCTCATTATTATAATAACCATACCTTTCATTTTGTTTGCAATGAATATTAATAAAGATTGGCCATATTTTTCTTTCAGATGACTATGGCCACTTCCTTCCAAATTCGTCTCATTTAATCCTACGTCAAATCTGCAGCAGGTACATTGTGGTGAAAGAACTTACCGTTCCAGTGGTAAATGCTGCTTTGACCTTTATCAGACATAACAGACACAAATTTCCTAGCCGCGCACACGTCCACTAGTTGAGAAACACTCTTCATGCATTTGTGGACAACCGGTATTCGAACCACTAACACGTAACCAGTGACAGACACGATGCGTTGTCATTCCCTGTTGAAAAGGCTCGGGTCATATCTATTTTTACCGCAGCCTGACTGTCAACTGTTTTGCTTGCGTAGCCAGTTTGTCATCTGTTTTTATCGTTACGGCAGAGCGCGCCAATAGTATCGATTCTGTATCCGGTGAGAAATGTGTTATGTCGGTTGAACATATTGTGTTTTTGCAAGGTTTTTGTTCAACTGTTTCTAGCCTGTACCTCAAGACTGTGTTTACGGTGGTCGGTGAGTGGTGATAAAATATTATAACCATTACTATTAAGGCAATAGCTGACCGTAATCAAGATTTGATTTATGGTTTTTCGAGAGGTTAAGTAACATGTTGATCAGATTAAGAAGATCCACAGAAATGACACAGGTCTTATACATGTTTCTCGTTTCTGTTTCGCCTTGAAATTAATTTGGTCATCATTTTTGTATCATCATCTCAGGTATTTCGGAGCGGGTAGACGCAATTTCCTGCCGAAATAACCTGCTTTACTTGGTTATTCACGGCCAGTCGTATCCCTTTCGATACTGTCTCCCTCCCACTCTACACACGCCCTTCCCATGTTTCGGTACTCACACTCTGCTCCACGCAACAAGCTTACATGAACGTCGCGTACGAGTGTGTAGCGCAGTTGCTTCGTATGCGGCAGATCTGGGGTTCAAATGTTGGTTCGAAGACTGTTTATCTTGTTTGAATTTTTTCGTGTTTTTTCTCAGTATAGACGTCATGCAGAATGTAGACTATAATCCACTAGATAAAAAGTACACTTCCTTTCTTTTTTTATTGCTACTGGGGTGGGACTAAGTCCCTTGTACTGCGGACACTTCTGGCCTATTGTACCAGCCCCAGATGATAGGTGAGGGTTATTGTAGAGCAATTGGTGGAATGAAGATTGGCAGGAGCAACCGAAGTACTCGGAGAAAACCTACCCCAGGGCCACTTTGTCCACCACAAATCCCACTTGACCAGATCGGGGATCGAACCCAGGCCGCCGCTATGGGAAACCAGCGACTAACCGCTTGAGCTATGACACGGCCCCGAGTACACGTTTAGTACAATACGAAATGTTCGTCACCACGTTCAAAATACAGTTCTTCATTGGTTCATGTCCTGAGACAGCTGCTCCTAGGTATAATCATTTGTTTTATCTGAGATGGAGGTAGAATTGTCCCCGTGTTCAGTTAAGCTCAACGCCACGAAGACGTATGGGGGGAGTTAAGATGTTACTCCTTCCATTCTTAACCTCGACACTAGAAGAGGTTAATGCTCAGCTTCGCGCCCGTGCCATTTTACCCCGGGGAAAGGGCCCATTGGATAGAAAGCTGGGCGGGCTGGTATGGACACTGTGGAGAAAGAAAATTCTTGTCCATACCAGAATCGAACCCCAATCGCTGGGTCGTCCAACCTATGGTATTTTCAGTACACTGACTCTGACTCTTTCGTTTATCTAAGAGACATTCTAATAGATTATTATTCTTCTATTACACCTAGGTCTTAGGAGCTGTCTCCTTCTTTCTAGGTTTAACAACTAAGTACTTGTATGGTCCATGCATTTACTATCTGTCGCTTTCCTTCTGCATTCCCGCCCATCTCATCCTCGCCAGTTTCATCACCCTAATGATATTTAGTGAAGAGTACAAATTATGAGCTCCCTCAATATGTAATTTTGTTCATCCTCATGCCACTTGTTTCCCCTTTCACGTCCAAATATTCTCCTCAGCTACATTCTTCCCTTGGGGCGGGTGAGAGAGGGTGCTCACAGACAAGTTGGGCGCTAAAACCAACAAATTAACGAGCATTTGCGTAGCAAAGTGCAGAAACAAACAAACGTTTCAGAGCTTGGCGTGGCCGAGATGGCTATCAGCAACAAATGACCACCCACGTGCCACTCGGGCTTGTTCTTAAATTAGAGACTTGGTGGTGTTGGGTTCTACGGCCATAACTCGCAGATAACACACCTGTCCGTAAGGGTCAGTTTCCTCTCTACCTGACGTGCTTCGTGTCCTTTATCAGCTTGCTCTGCTGCAAATTGTGAACAAGACTGTGGGTTTTAAACCAAATTGACCCATAGTGTCCGCCTCTGATAGGACATTTGTTATGGGTGGCCCGACTGGCGCAGGAAACATGATACTTTCCCCAGTACAAGGGCCTCCTCAGGGTTCGTGTCTAAATTCACTCAACAGGTCTTCCCTTAAAAGTACTGTCCATGGAGGAAACAATAATTACATGTAGAATTTCGGTTCGGAAAGCTCAAGGTAACAGATCATGTGGAGCTCATAAACGTAGATGCATGAATTATATCAAAGCGTACAATATAGCAGAGGGTTCGGAACTCTTTTCGGCTCAGAGACATGCTTGTGTCATCACGGCGATGAACCTCCGGATTCCCTAACAGATTAATTACATGTAGTGAAGCCCTCCTTTAGAAGCTAGTAGTCGCTCAGAATTACTGGAGTTCTGGACTTTTTCCATCATCCGGAATTTTAGGTAATGAGGACACGACGTTTCGTGTTTCCGTCCTCAGGTGAGAAAGGAAGACACCTATTCAGTTGGGCCCCTTAGAAAGAGCTAAATTCCGGACGATGGAAAAAGTTCAAAACCCCAGTAATTCTGTGTGTCATCCACAATCGTCAGAACCCTTTAGAATCTGTTAGTAGTCGCTCATTTACTCAAAGGTTCTCCCGAATTTTATGGAAACTGAAGGTCCATTATCATTGTCAGTGCTAGAGCTTGCCACATGAATCCAGTTCACACCCTAACGTATTATTTATTTTAGTTCCATTTTAATATTATCCTTCCATGCATACCTTGGTTCTCTCGAGCGGTCTCGTGCCTTGAGATATTTCAACAAAAATTTTGCATAAATTTTCTATCACTACCATGTTTTCTACATGTCTCGCCCATCTCATCCTCCTTGATTTGATAACCGTGATGATTCTGGCGAATTCTGCAAATTATGACGCTCCTCATTACAAAGTTTTCTCCGTTCTCTTGTCACTTCCTCTCTCTTACGTCCAAATATTCTCCTCAGCGCTCTATTCTCAAACATCTGCAGTCTATGTTCTTCCATTAATACAAAAGACCAAATGCCACTTCCATACAAAACGGCAGGCAAATTACAGGTTTGTATATTCTAATCCTTGCGCTTTTAGGCATCACTCGTGAAGACAAAAGTTTCTGAACCGAACAGCAGTAAATATGCCCTGACTGTAACCTGCTCTGAAGTTGCTCATGAATCCAAACTTTGGTTTGTTACTTTCGGTCTCAGATATATGAAGTTTGCCACATTCCCACTGTCTTTATGTTGCGAATTTCCCTTGCATTCTGGTGGCGAGACATCAACATATATCCCTACATTTAGTTTTCTCTGCTGTCGCTTTTAGACCGCTTGATACAGTTCCTGTGGTATGTAAAGCCCTACTTTTCCGTTCAGTAAACTGACATCATCATCCTGCACCAGAATCCAATGTATCCTATTCTGATTCATTAAAGCTTAAAGTAGGGAGGTATTTTGACGAGCCGAGGAAATGTGCTGCTCTCCGAGACGTCCCGACGCCGTGCAGCCGTCGTATTATGAGTCTAACCCAGACGGAGAGGCTGTTGTTAATTCGGAGTAGCTGGGGGAAAATGTCATCCGGATTAAGGTAGTCCTAAAAAATCAAACAAATGGAAAAATAAATGATATACTCGTAGGAAGTGCTGATTGAAATGAATAACAAAAAATCACTGTAAAATATTTGTTTAAAAATAATAGGAAGACAATATATTTCTTCATACTTATAAGACTCAGTAGTCAAGGAGGATGAGGTGGGCAGGGCATGTAGCACTAATTGGGGAGAAGAGGAATCCATGTAGGACATTGGTGGGAAAACCAGAAGGAAAGAGACCACTGGGAAGACTAAGGCGTAGTTGGGTGGACAATATTAAAATGGATCTTAGAGAAATAGGATGGGATGGTATGGATTGGATTGATCTGGTTCAGGATAGGGACCGGTGGAGGGCTCTTGTGAACACGGTAATGAAGTTTCGGGTTCCATAAAATGCTGGGAACTTCTTGAGTAGCTGCAGATTTGGCGTCTCCTCAAGGAGGGCTCAGTTCCATAAGTAAGTAAATAAGTATATCACTCGGAAGGTATACTTGTTTTTAATGCAATAAGGCAGGTTTGAAGAAATTGTCACGTTTCTTATGAACAGAGAAGTGACTCTTTTGCCTTCCTAAATGCCCTGTGTCTTTTTAAAGTATGTACTCAAGTGTGAACAACATTTTTCATTTTTCGATCCGGATTAACTGTAACCGGATTAGCGATGCGATGCGATGTTTCGAGACCTTGTGTCAGTAGGAGCGGCGTCCGACGCCTCTGAACATTCTGAATTATCGCCTAATGGCGTTTCTGGCGTCGCCGCTGCGAAGTGTTGACCGAAGAGGCAGATGTGGACACGCTCGGTTCGTCTGATCACAGAAACACGCGTATGGTGACCAATGTAAGAACGTGACGTCAGATAACTTTTGTTGTAACATGATGTAAGCATGGGTGTACTAATGGGGCTGACCCTCCCACTGTGGTGGTATTATAGCTGGACGAAACGGCGACTGGGATAACAGGTTGCTGGAACAGAGTTTAAAGCATATATTTTGAATGCGGACTTCTGTGTTACGACACCGCCTTCTTTGGTAGGTTGGTTCCGGCGTTTCGGAGGAGCCTGCTGTCTCTTTTTCAGAGTATAATCATGAAGAGGTTGGCAATATATTTCTCTAAAATGTTGTTACCCACTTGCCAGACTACACAGTGTCAATCCAGAAGACTGTACAAATATATCCTGCTTTATGAGAGTGAAGAATATTGTGGCATATTTGCTCAAAGCAAGAACCGTAGAACCAGAGAGACAGTCGTTGCTAGTGAACGGCTCTGAAACAGCATTCGTTCCTTGGCGACGGCTCGGTTAACACGTTCCCGCGGCAACCGATAAGCATTCGGCAATAGAAGTACTGTTGGAATTGGTGTTTTATATTCGGTCCTTACAAAAGGGTTATAAGGCATAAAATTTGGGCAACAGGGTCAGTCGTGTACGGGGGTGTGTGAAGAAAAGAGACAGTTGGAAGGGAGCCCCCATTTAGGGAAGGCTTCATCCCGGAAGCAGAGAACTAATCATTGTTGGAAACAGTTACTAGGCAACTACTATGAATGACACTGCGGGCTGGAAAAGACTTGTAAAGTGTGGAAATCAGCTACGGCGC